CCACGATATTCAAATTTTTTCTAATATATATATATTGTTGCAACCCCAGGGGTGAAACATAAAATGAAGAGAGATGGTCATGGTACCTTTTCAAGAAACCTCTTGGGGTTCTTTTTTATTGTGAGGTTAAAAGGGAATAACAGTTTGGTTTTGCCAGCTGGTAACACAAAAAGAACGTAAAAAAACTTAAGGGCTAGGCCAGGCCAAAATAATAAACAAAAAGGAACTACCTTAACCCAAAACTAAATATCCTAACAAAATAAAGAAAAAGAAGATACAGGCACTTCCCTACCTCCTTAACTAATCCCAAAAACAGGAGAAAAACATGTTAAACATAAATGGCACCTAGCCCCTACAGCGTTCACAAGACACAAACTACTTGCTAGACAGATTTATGGTCTCTCACACTCGGAATGAGGGGAGAGAACAATAAACGTTTCAATCGTTCACTCAAAACTTCAACAAGTTCTTACAATAAATATGATAACACAGTCTCAACAACGTCCAACAAGATGAACAGCGCACATTCCATTCTCTCACGCCTCTCTCTCTGAGGATGTTGCTCTATGCTTGTCTTTTTGAAAGATGCTGGTGCTCCTCACAACCTACCACGGCGCACACTGGTGGCGGGGCGACCTGTAAGAGACAGGACAGGAGAGAAAGGGAGAAAGAAACACCAAAACAGCGGCTAACATACAGACTCATGCATAAAAATATATATATATATATAGAGAGAGAGAGAGAGAGAGAGAGAGAGAGAGAGATGATTATTTTTGGAAAATGTGTAGGATTGAAAAATTAAATGTATTGCAAATAAATGTAATGAAACTGGATGATAAAGGATTAGTTTACTCAAAAAATGAAAAATTGTTCAACCCTGTATGTTTATCTTTTTCTATGAAACACAAAATGAAGTGTTAGGCACAATGTCCAAGCTACACTTTCCTTACAATGAAATATGCTGATGATATTTTACATGTTGATGATATTTCATGGCCCTTTTTTTTTTAAAGCTTGGCAGTATTTGCATCTCTGTCAGTGGTCACGGAAAAGTAGCTTTCTGTAACATAAACAAAACATATCTTAAGGCCAGTTTCCACTGTCATCTTGTGCCCATTTCACCATCTGTTAGTCCATCCAGCAAGGACACACAATTCTCCATCCTGGTCGAACCCGACGCAGCATTGACGCAGTTTGAGCTATAATTAACTGACAATAGACATGCTGAACAGCACAGTGTGCTTTCATGGCTTGTTCTGTCTTCTTGTGGTCTGTGATACAATATTCTAGTAGTCCTTTTGCATGGATGGAGTCCTTGCATATCATGTTACATATCCAAAAAACATATATATATATATATATATATAATATCCACAGACATTTTGGTAGTTTTAAATACTCTGCTCATGCATGCACGCAGGTGTTGCTGCTCTTAAACCATATTCATTGTTTCTTTATGTTAGCTATTTGCTAAATGATCTTTTAAGTGGTTACTGGGAAATTTCTGATGTGTTTTCTTGGTCGTAAGGTTCACACCTTGGGTTATAATGTGAGCTTGTGTGCTCATGTCAGTGATTGTTCATTGATATATTCACTCGATGTGTGTCTCAGCTGAGCGTGTGTATGTGAGTTCCATTGGGGAGCAGGGCCCTTGGTCTCCCCTCTGATACAAAACAGCCCTGACTCATGCAGGAGTGCCGTCTGTATCTCTGCTGGGTCCTAGTGCTGAAACGTTTCCATGCACACACAGCTGCAGCTCTGCAGCAGAAATGCTTCAGCCTCTGTCACATGACACTCTCCAATCAAGTCCAACCGCATGGATGTGTGGGATGAAATGGCCCGCGGAGGGTTTGTTTCTGCTCACTGCACCCAACAGTCAACCTGCGTCTTTCTCTACTGATGGCTTTAAATGCAACGTGTTTCTCTACTGATGGCTTTAAATGCAAAGTGTTTCTCTACTGATGGCTTTAAATGCAACGAATGAGGCCTAAATGAGAAGAAACTGCGTTTTTCGTGTGTGTAATATGAAAATAAGATGGATACAACACTATTATTATTTATGAAGGCACTGAAAGTAAATCGCCCCATTAAATGTTGTGACAAATCAGCTGTCAGGGAGATTTTATGGTTTAATGGATTTGTATTGAACATTGATGTATGGATGGATGCTACAGTGGCTCACAGATAGATAGATAGATAGATAGATATATAGATAGATAGATAGATAGAAAGACATATCGATAGACAGATGTGAGATAGAACAATAGAAGATAGAGAGACCGACAGACAGACAGACAGACAGATAGATAGATAGATAGATAGATATTC